TTATAAATTTTGTTTAATGTAAAATTAGGAAAAAATAGGTTGATAATGAAATTGAAAATAATTTTAGGAAAGAGATGTAAAAATTTGGGTTCGGATGATTTTTTTTTTTTAAATCAAAAACTGGAGATCAAAATGCAATTAAAAAAAATTACACTATATAAGACTGCTCAGTCAGCAGCCCCGACGAACCGGAGTGCGCCGCGTGGCAAGGCACGCTAACTTAATATCACGCAAGAGGCCACGCTGACAATCCGCGTGCCCGCGATCGGACGACTAGGATGTGTTCCCGCGCGCGTGGACAGTCCATATCTGTTCCCTCCTCATGTGCGATCGGACGATCGCGATTAAATACGATGGACGGACCTATTCGTTCCCTATTTGAATGCGATAGTAAGGTCAAAATCAAATCGTAATGAACGGTCGAGATCAAACGCGATGAATGGTCCAGATTTAAGAGAGACATTATAAATATCTTGCATCACACTGAACCTAAACCCTAACTACCAGCCTCTCGCTAGAGAAGAAAAACCAGTTGTCGGAGAAGGGAGTCGACCGCCACCGCGCCGGAGCCACCTTCGACCGCCAAAAATGGTTTATCGAAGAAAAATGCTCAACCGTGAAGATGAGTTGGCAGAGCCACCGTACTGAAAAATTCTGCTGCCGGAAAATTCAGGAAACTCGGGGACTGCCAGCAGGCGTAGTAGAAAGTTCAGTATTTCGAACACCGATTCGGGTAAGAATCTCTCACCATATTTTCTGTTATGAAATTGAAGTTTAATTATCAATAATACAGTATTTTGCGTAATTTTGAAAACTTTAAGAATTAATTACAAGTTACTAATGGAGCAATGACCGGTTATTTATTATTTTTTGTCATACTTAACCGATTATTTGAGTTTACAGCTTTAAATGCATGATAATATACTAGAATTGGTAAAATGATTCAGTTGTGTTTCCTTGATGCATGTGTTGTTTGTCTTGTATTGATTTATGATTAAATTGTGAAACTGAAAATTAAATGTAAATGAAAATTTGATTAGTTAAGTGAATGAATGAATGGTAGCCTTACTGAATATCTTAAAAGATGGTGGACGGACCGGGTACATAGAAAATCCTACCGTGAACGTCATTTCATACCAAACGAGATATCGAAGATTGGTATTTTTGGCACTCATACCGGACGGGGTATGGGGACAGTCCGTTTTACCCTCATGCCGGATGGGGTATTGATAGATGGTATTCTTAGCGCTCATCCAGAACGGATTATGGGGAAGGCCGGTTAGTTGACAATGTTGAATAATGGTTCGCGCGTAGTGGGATATTCCTATGGGCCTCCAGGGATACCAATGGCAAATAAAGATGGAATGTTACTGTTCTTGGTCACTTGAATATAAGAGTATAATGTTATTTGAGTTATTATCTCTATAGTTCGATTTTGGAAATCTCGCAAATGGTAAATATGTAATAACTTGTTTTCTTTATAATAAATAAATTTACTTAAATCAATAGCTTCATTAGTTATTTTTATAATTTTTACCAACCTTCAGTTTCTATATCGGTGAGGAGTGTGATATTCTTACTACACTAATGTAACTCACCATTTCATTAAATATTTCAGATCAAGAAGAACAAGACCCAGATTCCGATCAACAAGAGGGTTGTAAATAGTTCACCACCCGAACTCCCTTCAAAAGCTAGTGAAGGTCGTCATAGATGCTCAACATATTACCTTTTATTTATTTCCTTAATTTTGTTTGTTCTTTTCGAATGGTCATTCTCGTAGTGCTATTGGACATTCTAAATTATTGTGTAATGAATGTAAACTCTAAATTTTATTGTTTCACTTCCGCATTTAATTCATGATTTTATTTTCTTTTAAGTTCCGGACCTTTACAATATATGTATATATATTACATAAGTCAAACCAAATATACAACTATATTATGCAACTACATACCATCTTTATTTTTATATAGCTATAAGAGTTTTTTATTTTATTTTTTCTGAGTCATTTGTTCACACGAAAGATACACTTTAGAGAATTTTAGTAATTATCTATATCTTTTATGTACGACGTTAAAATATTATAACACTCAAATACCACCATATATTATTTGTAATAGCTTGATCTAAAATATTATCAACTTTCAAAATTTTAATAATTGTAAATTTTTGCTATTTAATTAATAAATATTATAATATTAATTTCCTAAGGTATATTCAAATACAAATTTTAATCAAACGTAATTAAAAAATCTGCATATGTATCAACATAAATTTTGTACGTAATAGGATTAATTATTCAAATTCATTTTTAATTTTTCACGAATGCAATATTTTATTCGGGCCAAAGGAGTTAAAAAGAAATACGGTATTGAAATAATATTACTTTATTTCATAATCACATAATTAAGAAAATAATAAAGTCCCCATAATAATTGGTAATAAATAAATAAATAAAAATAAAGGAGCACAAATTCCATCTTTAAATAACTCCACGGGACCCACATGGATTGAAAACCTTTATTTTAAGACAGGTCACCCTCTGTGTGAAATTGACGCTTTCTTCTTTCCTTTTATTTATTTATTTATTTATTTTTCTCTTTCTAAATTTATTTAAATTAAATATAATAATTTTTTTTTAAAAAAAAAAGAGAGGTGACATCGCTGTCGACACGTGGCAAAGAATTGACACGTGAAGGTGCTGGTGGCAGCAAGGTAGGGTCCACAGTGTTTAGCTTTCTGGGCCCCACAGCTATGCCAATCAGGAGATCGGGAGTTTTATATAATGCACGTGAAGTCTTCCCGCGTGCCGGATCCGGGTGCCTTCTCGTTGGCTTCGCAGCTTGTCTCGGCTCAGCTCAGCTTATTTTTAAAATTTTTCGTTAATAAAATCGACTTAATTTAATTTTCTTAAAAAAAATATGTATTTGCTTGAATTGAGTTGGAATGAAAATTATTTTTGCATTTATTTTGATATTTATTTATTACGTAATTATATTAATTAGTCCTGAAAATCTACGAAATATTTTTAAGATGCATAAAATAATTTGTTATAAATTAAATTATAATAAAAAATTAAAGACAGTATGATAAATATAAAATTTTAGAATTAATATGGTATTTTCCTAATTAGTTAAATATTTTATAATTTGTACATTTGGAATATTTTAAAATCTTAAGAGGGTCCAGATTATTGGCTTGTAAAACATGTACTTTTTATCCAAAAAAAAAAATCAACGCTAGGCGGACAAGTACACCTCTCTACTCTTCTACAATACGGAGAACAAGCTCGTCGTTTTGATATTTATTATTATTTGAATAATAAATTAATAAAATTTAATATTTTTATTAGAATGAAAATTCAAATCTTAAACTACCCATTTTATATAATATTATAAAAAATTATTTTAGAAAAATTTAAAATTCTTTTTTTTACATTTTAATTTTTATGTAAACATAAAAGTTTTTAGATAATAATACTTTTGGTTAGTGGTTAAAATTAGTGTATATTTTCTTCGCACAAGAAATTAGGTCGTATATTATTGAAATTGAAAGTAGCATAATAAAGGATCTCTCAAATTATATTGAATATTAAAATTTAACATGGATGATGGGTTATGGCCCTGAGACCACCATAAGATTTTCTCACCAACCAAACACCTCCAACGGGTTTCACGTGCAGAGCCTATTTTTTATATGCATGTTCTGTGTTTTTGCCAACCCAATCTAATCTTAATTATCAAACTCCTCATTAATGCCTAAAAAAAGTAGTAAAAGTTAACACCTTTTAATTATTATTACCTCCACCATTACTTCTTTTTAGTAGCTTAAAAGCAACCATCTTTTCCCATCCAGTTAACACCCAACTTTTAATTTTTAAGTTCTAATATTAGAATTTGTTCATCAAATATATTAAAAACTATTTAAACTTATTAGCTAAGCTAGTGTATAAGACCCCCTAAGCCGTTGTTACTGTGAGACAAATTATAAAGGCGCCTTACTGTTTTAATGTCTGGTGTTTGGTGACAGGTAGCATTCAGTCGCCCCCGAAAAAGCCACAACATTCTGATCTTACACAATTTCGCTATTTGGCAATCTGCATGTGACTGCTCAGTGCTCATTCATGACTCATCTCTGCTCTGTAAATTTGCCCACCTCTCCCACTTCTGGACTCTTTTGCTCGTGGAGAGCGCTGATTTCAATATGCCCACCAGATGTTTGTTAAAATTGTCTTTTAAAAGTTTTTTTTTTTTTTTTTTTACTCAGAAAATCTAGGATTGAATAATGCCAGCTTGGATTAAAATGAGTTAATTTTTATGGGTGAATTTGAGTTGTATGATTTGGAGGAATGTGATGATAAATCTGATGTGGATATGCTAAAGCATTATAAAAATGGTTCTGGAGTTTCGACATGCCCACCAGGTGTTCGTTAAAATTTCTTTTAAGTTTTTGTTGACTCGGAATTATGCCAGCTTGGATTAAGATGGATTAAATTTTTATGGATGATTTGAAAAGTACGATTTGGAGGAATTTGATGATGATTCTGATGTGGGTATATGCTAAAACAATATAAAAATGGTTCTGGAATTCAGCTTTGATCATCTCCTGAACTAGAGTACGGAAAATCTCGTTGGAAACAGTAACAGTAAACGTATGATGAATCACCACAAGCAAAAAGATTTACAGCAGATTATTATTATTGCCATTGGTTTGATGATTGCTGATCATCGCGAATGGGGCGCTGGGATTAGGCGTGGCTTGCCAGGCTGAAGCAGCGATGAGCGGACGGCTGTGCCAGCCGAGGGTCAGACAACCTTCGTTCTCCTCCACACAGTAACCATCTGCAGAGAAAAGAGTCAATAACATGCTGGCCTGCTTGAAGGCGTTGGAACCTAGATAGAGCGGCTTAAATCCGGCTCGTCCAAGCCGCGATCTCCACTTCTCAAGCGGCTCGTGTCTCTCTAATCGAGCCGAGCCTTCACAGCACAGTACGTTGCATATCTCCCTTTGTATGTGTATCTCGGCGAATGCCTTCTCCGGCTGCATAGCGCATGCCTCCAGCGAATCGAACATTGTTGAGTAGTAATACAGAGCCTCGGTGAACCGGTCAAAGAAATCCGGCTGGTTATGGCTCGCTTCTTGCTCCACCACCGTCATGATTTTCGGGTTCAAGTTCCGGATCCAACCCAAGACCATTTCGATCGGTGAGTTGCGATTCTGATCGGCGCCGAGAAGTCTGTGAAGCTGCATGATGGAGTTTACCGCCAGGGCTTCCTTCGGACTCACCTGGAGCATCCAGGGTTTCACATCCTCCAGCCGCGAAGCAGCCACGCCGCGGAACGCGAAACGGACGTTAACCGAGCGAGCTAACTCGGCAAGACGAAGCCCGATTTCTCGGAGCGAGTCCCGACCGTCGGGAGACGGCGGTCCAATGCCTGTCAAACGGAGAAGTGGGGGCCCACCTGGACGCAACGCGAGGGCTTGAATGAGTGCCGGCCATTGTAAGCCGTGCATCAAGTTGAAATCGACCACGTGGACGCAATCGTGACCGTCGAAGGCTTCCAAGATGGCTTGATTAGCGGTAAAGTGAGCGAATTTCAAGTAAGGGCAAGCCTCGTAGAAGTGGTGGTAGAGAATCTCGTTTTCAAACGCAGAGCCGTTGACCGAGACTGCTAAGCTTTGGGGCGGCGATAAAATCCGGCGGTTCAGCGCGTCGATAAAGTAGCCGGCGACTTTTCCAATACCGCATCCCTGGTTTACATGAGCCAGCAAACCCCGCATATCCTCTATGAGAGAGCCAGCTAATGGTAGCTCGCCGCGTTGCACGGACTCCGCACACGTCATCAGCATGTGAACTAAGCGTATACCGGAGTCCTCCTCCATCGCCGTCACAACAGTTAGTTGCTGTCCCTGTTGGTCCGCCCAGGAGGAGTTGTCCGTATCAATAGCAGCGTGATTCACAGCGTTGCCGATGAAGAGATCGGAAGGAGGGAAATCCGGGAGAGGAGGGGGAGGAGGCTGAGCCAACTCGGACAAAAGCGAGTCGACCCAGGAGGCGAGATCGGTAGGATTATAGTGGACAGCATCAGAAGCAAGAACTGAGAGTTCGGAAGGAGAGTTAACCATCGCCGTTTCGAGCCGCTCAAGTCGCTGAGCCACCTGGCGTAGATCGGAAGAGCGAACCTTGTAACCAGCTCCGGCGAGTAGGCCATCCATATCTGGCGGCGGAGGGTTCTTGGTAGCGTAAGAGAAGGAGGAGCCGGCGCTCGTGCTGCCACTGCTACTTGTGGCAGCAGACGTGGCAGGGTCGTAAAGTACCATGTTGTGAAAAACGAAAGAAACTGTTGAATTTGATAGTCACTTAAACAACCTTTTTGGTTAAGATTCTAGATGAGATTTTGATGGTCAATCATGGCGGATTCTCTGCAAGTCGAGAGTATGAAAGTGAGCGTGAGAGAGAGAGAGAGAGAGAATCTCGAGAGATTAAGAGAGAGAGAGACAGAGAGAGAGAGTGTGAAAAGTGATAAGTGAAAGAGTGAAGAAGGTGGGATTTTTTAATTTAGAGAGAAAAAAAAAAAAAAGGAGAGAGAATGATGAGTGACATGTAACATGTAAGAACCATGAAACGTAATTGTCTACGAGACAATTGAAAATTACCTTTCTGCCACCCTATTTTGCCAACAATTTATTCGCCTTCGCTTTCATTTTATATTACATTACATTATATTATATTATATTCTTCCCTCACAATTATTTCAGATCCACATATACATACACACACACACACACAAACCATACACCATTGGGTGAGAATATATATTATTTGATCACACATCTTATAAAAGACTGATATTTTAGTTTCTAAATTTATTTATAATTTTATATCAAGATATTATTCTGTTTATATTTAAATACATTACATATTTTTGTGTTACCAAATACATATATATTATATTAAAAATTAAAAATTAATAATATCAAGTATCAATAATTGAACCCTAATATTTTCTTAGTAAAAAAGTTTTCTCCATGCAATGATATTATAAAGCTAACCTAGTCTATTTTAGTCTTAAAACTTACAATAATCAATACCCACATACACGTGTATCCATATGTATATATATATATATATATACGTATATGTACATGTACATACAAACTCACACGTGCGGATCTTGTGCATGGGGAAAATTAAAAGTGGGGGGGGGGGGGAGTTCGGGTTTGATTGAAAATTAAAGACCACCAGATCAGCAGTGCATAAAAATGGACAATTTAATTAGGTCGAATTCCAAAAAATTTGTTTAAAGTGGAATTTTTTCTATTTCCTTTTTATTTTCCAATTACCTTGAAAATGACATTTTAACTACACTGAATATACACTACGTAATAAAATATAAACAATAATTAAGACATGTGATTAAAGTAGATATGGAGGTGTTTAATTTAATTAATTAATCATATTTTAATGACCTAATATTATTATTTAATTGATTCTTACCGGACCCAGTACGAGTTTTAGTTTTAATTTTAATTTTAATTTTAATTTGTATTCATAATAAATTAATTGCAACTAAATTTAGTGGTGATCGTAAATTTCAAAAAGTTACACAAATTAAAATTTTAGTTATTACAAATAATTATAGATAAAAGCGATTAATTATAATTTAATTAACTTAAATTATACGTGTGTCATCGTAAGACGTTAAACTTGTCATTAATTAAGAGCATTTTCATACGTATAATTAATTAATTAATTAATTATTATATAAATTAATCCAAAGAAGAGTGACCTACGTTTGTATTTATTTATTTATTTTTAAAATTAAGATAAGGATGGATTACTTATTTTCTTAATATTTATTATTATCATATTATCATACATTAATTTTCGATTATACCATGGGCACTAAGCATATACTTGTGAATTTTATATAGTTAGAAGACCATATTATATATTATTTTAATCTCAAACTTAAATTTTTAATTCATTTCATTTCAATCTTATCTCTAAAATATAAACCCACAAAGACTTTATAATTAATCACATAGGTTAATTATCTTATAAATATTAAATTCCAAATAAAAATTTAAAAAATTAAAATTATAATAAATTTAAAAACATATATAATTCCCATTTAAAATTAATTTATAATTGATTTTTTCAAACATATAACTTCAAATCACAAAAGTCAAAAGAGACAAAAGTATGAAATCCTCTTGGGCTTTTTTTTTTTTTAATTTGTTTCTTCTAATGAGGAATTAATTTAATTAAATTGAGCTTCCAATATTTTTCTTTGGGTTCATGATGATTCTATATAAATATTATATATATACATATTATATATTATGTATTATATGTAGCATTAAATGACCAAGAACAGCTTCCACACGTTGTTTGACCATATTGTTATCGTAAAAGATCCTAATTAAATCAAAGGCCGAAAATGTCTTCGTGTCTGGGCAGTTTGATTACTCTCTTCAATTAATTTGTACTACTTACAGTACATAACTATCATGTTTTATATTTCATTATAGATTTATAATAAAGTATAATAATTAGTAATAGGGTAACTAATACATTAATATGTAGACTTTATAACTCTCCTATTTTTAATAAATATTATGATTCGATTCATTAAATTCGATAAATAAATAGATATAGTTTAAACAATTTTAATAATAAAAAAATAGTACTATTCGAATATTAAATCTTTTGCAGTGTAAAATATATAGTCTATTTTAATAAATATTATAGCGCACACATATATATATATATATATCATTCTTACTCACTAAAGTTAGTAAGATATTTAGTTATTTTTCTAATAAAAATTTTATAACGATTAAATTAGTAAATAAAATTTAAAAAAAGTAAATACTTGATAAGTGAAACTTAGAAAGTTAATAATACATACAAAATATTATTTTTTATATAAATTAGTGAGAACGGGGATATAAATTACTGATTACAGAAACTTTTAGAAAGATTACATAAAAGTCTAAAACTATAGACTTAATATTCGTTACTAAAATTTTTTGAATGCCTCGTGGAAGAACGATTTGAGTTTTGTATAAATTATTTTACATCATAATCGTTATAGATTAGACTGAGAAATTTATTAATATTATGATTACGTAAAAATAAAAAAATTAATTTTTTTTTTTGGGTCCAAACTAGAAAGTTGGATGGTACCAAATAATGTTCCTAATTTATGAGAATGGTAAACTCCTATATATACACATTTTCTAAAGTGTCATGTGCATACCTATACATAGGCATTGTATATATGTTTCTTCTCTACGCTAGATTATTATTATATTAGATATAATCATGTATCACATTAGTGGTATATAAATAAATAAAATGGTGCTCACTAATTCATGCGTGATTTAGGCAATTTAATGACAAATAATGCATCCTCTCTCATCCCATATAGTAGGAAGTCTAAAAAGTTATGATATATAAAATTAGCAATTATTTTGATGTAATTTATAAGTACTCACATATATATATATATATATATATATATATATAAGGAGAGAGATACTTAAAATAGAGCTTCAAATAATATATATGGATTAGTGAATTAAATTTTTGATTTCATTTGTTGCATAAAATTAGAAATGTTTACAACACTATTTATAAAAAGATACGATTCTTTGTAAATTTATAAAAAATAAATTCTTTGTAAAAAAAGTATAATTTTTGACAAACTTATAAATAAATAAAAAATTACTTTCGAAAATAGCATATTACTAATATCTCACGTACGTTTAGTTAAATTATAAATAAATTTAAATTTTACGGTGTGAAAATTACTTAAAACTCTAATAACATATGAAAAAGTAATATTCTCTCGTATATGTTAAGTTAAATTATAACCAAATTTAAATTTTAAGACATGAATATCGACATTTAAAAAAAAATAAAAATAACCAATAGCGTCAACAATTAAATATCGTTCTCTATGTAAAAAATAAATAAATATCTTGTCATATTATTTTAGCACTAAGATCCGTATTAATTTACTTATATCATTAAATTAACTAGTAAAAATTCACCGCCTTTCTGTTCATAATTTGTGATTAGATTCAAAAATTGGTTTATATGTATATATATATATATTATATTTATAGAGGGAGGTAAGTACATAAATTAAGACAAAATTTTATTCAAAAATTAGTGGGGTGACGAGGTGGATGCCCCCACATACTTTTTCTCTTTTTAATTTTCAATTTATATTTGTAAAAGTTAGGTGAGCTGGAATATGAGAGGCTCCTTTTTATTTATTTATTTATTTATTTTTTGAGACTTCTAGAACACTAACAACTCATTTATTCTTTTTATTTAATAAAATAAAAAAAATCGGTGGAAATTTATAATTTTTATGTATATTATTGAAATTTTGGTAAATATTTATCACAATTTTATAATATTTTTTACGTAAGAATTTCAAAAAAACTAAAATTAAATATAAAACATTGAGATTAGATATGAAAACAGAAACGTAATTGAATTCATAATGAAAGAAATCTATACATCTCGCAGTAAATTTTTTAAATTAATACGTAGTTTTTTGAAATTCTCACACATTTTTTATTTCTGATGACGGAATAATATAATAAAAAAAATTCTAGGTATAAAATTTATTTTTATAATTATTATATTTATAATAAACTAAATATATAAATTACTGTTGTATGAGTTTGGTTCTATGATTTATAATTATAAAAATATATATATATATATAGCAATAGTTATATAATTCGAAAGTGGTGTTCCATGTCTCATTGTTGCTGCTATGTTAAAATAGAAAAGCCTTTTCCTTTTTTTTTGGGGGGGATATATAATTATTTAATAATTAAACATTAATCTTTTAATTAATATGATATTGATTTATGGATTTTGATTAATCATATATTAATTAGATAAAATATATAACCACATGCTTAATTTTAAGTATTTCGCTGCCATTTTCTTAGAGTTTTTCAATTGTCCTTTCAATAATTATTGTGAATAATAAAATTATATTATAAAGTTTCAATTCAATTATAACCGATGCACGTCTCTTACTATCATATCATATTAAATTAAACTATACTTTTTTTTTCTTTTATTAATTTTAATATATGGTTATAGGGGCACAAACAAAATATCTCTTCTCGTAAACAAAAATCAAAATCTAGCTCTGACATGTTATGTTTCAAACCAAAATTATATAGTTCTAAAAAGAATTGGCTAATTAATACACAATCGAGCAAACATTACATATCCAATGAGATTGGCTTCAAAATTGGAGCTAAATCGAGCTATAGGTAAAGAAGCACGAAAGTAATGTAGATGTGGGTATTTATGTACATGGTATGTACGTATTTATACATTTTAATTTGGGTGTGGGGGGGGGGTTTATATATTTATACATGTTTTAAGTGTGTGTGGATTTGTACATATGTAATATCAACTTATCATGGGCAGAATAGCATGACCTAATTTGATTTGGTATTCAACTCCTACCCATTAGGTTTTCTCACATAAGTTGACTCTATGTATATAGTATAATATATATATATATATATATATCGTATAATATGGTATGATTGAAGAGAGATGGATGTAGGAGATAAAAGATGATGAGATTGGGACCATTGCAAAACCCAAAAAGCACGAATTTAAGAGTAAAGAAAATGCAAGTTTCACTCTTGATAACTTTTTTTTTTTTCCCCTCTAAAACCAAAATTGACCATACAAGAAATCAAGAATAATAATGTGCATGGGGGGGGATTCTATTATATTCAATTTATTTATGTGAGTATGTGTAATATATATATATATATATACACACACACACACACATATATATATATATGTGGGTAGAAAAAGTACAAAAAAAAAAAAAATTGAAAAAGAAGTAGAGAGTGGGAAATGGTTGGATTGGGGACCAGCATTTGGTAAAGAGAACATGTTGTGTTCGGGACAGACACCCGTCTTCTGTGTCCACTCCGTTCTTTCAGCTGACACCTTCACGTTATCTTCCTCCATTTTATTTTGAATATTTCTAATTTCTATTCATCTTTTTCTTCACTCTCAACACATTTAAAACAATGTAAATGATTGGATTTTGATCGGTTTAATTACTTAATTATTACTACAAACTTTGTTTTTTTTTTTTTATAATTGATTTCGTATAATTACACTTAATGTGCGTTAATCATGGTGTCGATTACTCATTAAATGTTAATCATGATGATAAGTGTTATCATTTGGTTTGAGTTCAAAGTTTTAAGGGATCAAAATTTTGTAACTTCACAACCTGAGTTTATAAATTATATAAAATTATATAAAATGTGTTCCTTAATGGGTTTTAATTTAATTTATATAAATAATAATTATTGATAACATAATGTTTTTTGAAGTTAAAATGTTGGAAGAATTAAAATTAAAATTGGGCCTTGTAGACTCCAAAGCCTTGAATCTTATTTTAATTTGCAAAAATAGACTGCTTTTTAAAAAAGGACTTTTTGTTTTAAATTTATAATGGGTTGTTGTGATCAGGACAAGGTGAGTCCAGAGGAGAAAGTGATCCCGGCCATATTTGAGCCGTTGATCATCTTACAATCGGGGAGTGGGACCCAACTCCACTGGCCCCCACCTCTGATCATATCATAAGATAACCACACAATATCCCAAACTCCCTCAGAATTAGAAATTAAAGCCACTCTGATAATCCCATCTCGTTCCTCTACGCACCCCATCATAACCCCATAACCCTTACTTATCTTCTCCATTATCTCACTCGGAACCTCACTCACAAACTCCCACCGCCTCCCATTACGGCACATCCCCCACAATTCCACGCCACTCACCTTTCTCTTCATCTCGCTCGCACCGCACGATCTTACTAACGCCATATACCCATCACCGTACACGTGTAACCAATCCATTGCGTTAACCCGCGTGAAACCCACAGCTCGCCGCCTCCTCCTCCCTCCGTCGAATCTCGGCCGTAGAACCACCAGTTCCTCGTCCGATCCAACCGCAACCACCACGCTCCCGTAAGGTCCATTCGATACATTCAGAAACACCCAATCACTCCCAACACGCGACCAATCCCGACCCTCCACGCTTTCTCTCGCCTGTCTAGACTTCCACGTGTTGGAATCCGACCGGTACTCGAACAAAACCGGACGGTTCTCCACCAACTCTGCAAACAAAAACCGAAAATGATCCGACCCGGATTCGTCGGGGCAGGCAACCACCTTCATCCCGGACCGTCTCCACGAGGAGGTGCCACGTGGACCCAACGGACACGGTGGAATCTTTTTAACCGTCTTGCTGACAAAATTAACGGCAATAACTACCTGGCTAGTATTAGAAGCAAACAAAAAGAAATTACCAGAAGCCTTCAAGAAATAAACATCCTCACCAGGACTGACTACTTGTTTCAGCATCTCCGTTACAGAAATCTTGAACCACCGGCGAGATTCATCGGAGAAGCCGCGCAGAACGGCATCGCGGCGCCACCGTTTCATGTAGAGGAAGAGCCACGTGGCGGATTTTGATCTGAGATTATATTCTCGAACAAAATTCTGTTCGGATATGGTGCAGAAGATTGATTTGTTGACTAATTTCATGTGGATGATTTCTGGTAAAGTAAGGTAGAGGAGGATATTTTGTATGAGCTCGCAGGGGAGAAGGCAAAATCCGACAACATTGATCGTGGAGTTCCGACAATCATCCATGTCAGAACCCTTTCCTTTTCTTTTCTTGTATCAGATGTTGAAATTATTGGGGTGGCAATCCAACGATCATAATATAAATAGCGGGTGGCCACGTTGTTTTCTAAGGAAGTTAATTAAGTTAAAAAATGGTGTGTTAAAAGTGGCATGATACGTAGAAGCAATTAGGAAGAGAACAATTTGTAGGGGGACAAATCCTATGTAGGTGTTTCGTCATGGTCGGAGAAGGGACGGTGGAGATGGTGAACTTGGCCTTTTGATTATTTGGTTTGATAAAGTTGACGTATTAATTTAATCATAAGTGAAGTGTGAGGGGAGAAAAATTATTAAATTAAAAATGGGATTAGTGGTGGTGATAACTGATAAACACGAACGAAGAAAGCGAGATGATGATTAATTAATTCAGGGGGGAGGGAGTGTCGAGTCATGAGCCATGCGGGGTGTGTGTGACGAAAGAAGCCTCCAAATTAATTTCAGTTTGTCTCATCTTCAAGATAAGTTACAGATTTAGGTTATGTCTGCAACTAAGTTAATCCGAGACTAAGACCTGCTTACTCTAAAAAAGAATTGTGTAAAAGAAGCATTTAAAACAGAGGATGGGGCACAACAGGAATAGTTTGTAGGATAGTGCGTTGAGTACTTTATGAGACAAAATGATAAGGCAACATCTTTAGAGGCCTAAAACAAAAGGCCAATTTTTGTACTCTAGAAATTTTGAAAGCAATGGATGATGTTGGAAATCCTATCCGGGAAGAGAATCTTATTACTATAGAAAATGAAAGTATAATTTGTTTTGTAATTGAGAAGATTAAGTTATAGAAATACTTTCTATACTTTTTAATCTAATATTCCTAAGGTCACCCTTCACATATTGTTTTGGTCAATTGTTATTTTGCTCCCAAACTTGATTATTCGAGGCTAAACCAACAAGAATTCGCACACTTGTGCGCTTGATTTCTATCAGGAAATGATCCTGAAAGGTCTGCTTTTGGGGGCAAGGGGGGAACAGCTGCATTCTCACTCTACTAAGTTTGGTTCTCGTTGGATTCTTTTGCGCATAAACACTTTGATGAATATGTTTTCCAGTTGCTGAGTGTCTGGTTTCTGCTCGAAAGGTGTTTGACAAAGTAGAGGAGAAGAGTTTTGTGACCCAGGCTACCATGATTGGCACCTAGATGCAATGGGAACAGCCAGAACGGGCTACTAAGGTGTTTGACCGGATGGAGATGGAGAAAATGGAGGTTAATGAGGTTACTCTGATTAATGTTAATGTTCTGGCAGCATATTCAAGGGCGAGAGACCTGGGGACCTTACAGCATGTACACAAATCCCTCAATGACAATGCTTTCGGGTCTCATCTAATGCTCAATACGGTTCTCATGGATGTTTATTCAAGTGTGCGTGCCTCTAGGCTGCTAGAGATTTACTCAACCTGATCCTGAGAATTAATTGTTTTGCTGGAACATTATGATTAACAGGTATGTAGAAGATAGGGATTACGAGGCTCCTTTACTTCTCTTCCAAGAAATGCAAGTCGAGTGTCGGGGAGATAAGGTGACAATGGCAAGTTTGTTGCTGGCTTCCACCCATTTTGGTTTATTGAGCTTGCTAAATGGCTGCATGTCTACATTGAGAAGGAGAAAATCGAGGAGGATGTTGAACTAGGAACATCACGTATAGACGTGTAGGCAAAATGCAGAAGCTTAGACAGGCTTCAGAGGAACTTGAAGAGTTGCTTGAGAAAGATGATATGATCTGGACAGTCATGATTTTTGGTCTCCCAATGTGAAGGCAATGAGAAAGCACACTGGAATTTTTCCAGGAGATGCAGAGAAACAGGGGAAACCATACACGTAGGTTTAGCATGTGTGTGTAGTCATGCTAGCCTAGTGCGTGAAGGAATTGCATGCTTTTGACTCTATGTCCGACAAAGATGGAGTCCAAACTAGCATTAGCATTATGGTTGTTTCCATATATTAGCAGAACTGGTGGCATACCTGAAGCAGAGAACATGCTAGTGGCAGAAAGAATCCATCGGAATCTTGAGGAGCAGCTCAACAACTTCTTGAGGTTTACCCTGAAAATGCCAGCACTTATGTTATTTCATCAAATATATATATACCAATCATTAGGAAACTGGAACAATGCTTAAAGAATTAGGAAATTGATGAGAGAAACAAACATAAAGAAGCCCCAGATTTGCAGCTTGATTGAGGTTGATGGAGTTGTTCATGAATTTACGAAAAGTGATCTGTGACATGTTGATTCGAATAAAGAAGACTGGGTATTCAGAGATGCTACTTGATATGGATGAAGAGGAAAAAGTGACCGCACTTAGCGTCCACAGCGGGAAGCTGGCAATCGCACTTGGACTCATGAGTACATGTCATGGGGTCCCAAGTCGAATTGTTAAGAATCTTTGTGTTTGCAAGGACTGCGAGCAACAAAAATGATCTCTGAAGTTTATAACAGGGAAATAATTGTGAGGGATAGAAATATTTCACCATTTTAAGAATGGATCTTGTTCATGCAAGGATTTCTGATGATGTAAATAAAATACCTCTCAGTTGCACAAATACCATCTGATGGCCATACTATAAGTCAATTGTGAGGGATAGAAATATTTCATCCATTGCTAATCCCACCAAACTAGAATGAAATAGAAAAGAGTGAAGAGAAAAGAAATTGCACCAGAAAAAAAAATTTGTGGAACTAGTAAACAATACAACAATGGTGCTATTGAAATCTAATCAGAGACAGAAAGAAAGAAAGACCATTTTCAGTTTTGGACTAAATCCAAGAGGTAAATTTGTATTAAACTATAAGTATTTTGTGGAGGGGGGCATGCATGGGCCGTGCATTTTCATCCATTACAAACTTCGGCAACAGCTATTTTACTCGAATAATTAGAGAGACAAACTGGAGAGAATTATCTTTGCATTCATTTGTAGCACTCACATCAAAGGAATATTGCCATTTAATGAATAGGAAAAAAACGCATCCTTACATAGTGAAACAAATTCTGCCAGTTCCACCTTGATTATCGTTTTTACAGGAAGAATATTTCCCAAGCATGAGACACACCCCAAAAGTTAGTGCATCCAAAACATAACAAAGGGTTTAATTTGATATGGAATGTCAAAATCAAACAGCAGAAGTATTATTTGCAGAGTGCACGGTGTCAATGTACCACAATAGGCTGAGAAGATTACCAGGTTGTTAAATTTCCTCACCGAACTCCAACTTGAGTAGCAAGCTAGATATTAGATCTGGGATCACTGAAGGTAGCAATTGACAGTTCAAACTAACCATGCCAACAATACTATGTCCAATCTAAATTTGTTCAATATTTCCAAGAAACCGAAGTAAGCCCACTGAACGAACCAGCGTATAGTAAGATAGAAATTTCCTCGTCTTTGCATCAAACTGTTAAATGCTCAAGAAGTGGCAGAACTTGTTAAACAATTCACAACATAAATAGTTCCAGCATACTGCAGCCTTGTTCAAGGATGGAGTAGTGAATCAGACGAGACATACAGCTTGCATCCTTCAATAGATTCTTTCTCCATCAAGAGGAAGTAGAATCGATCAATAAATAATTTCATAATTCTAAACATATCTCAAATTCTCATAGCCCCACAAGCATGAAAAGATTCCAAACTGAGGCTTGAAAAAATTGTTCCCATATTATTTTCTGGAAAAAAATCATTCCCATAGGCCAATGCATTTATATAAAGGCTAAGAAACTCAAAGGAAGTGGCAGGCTTCTGCATTTTCTATAAAGGCTTAAGGATAATCAATCTCAGCATGGAACATCTAGTTTGTAAATTGGCAAATGGGCGACACCCCTTGGTACCTTAATAATATAGAATACTGTTTATATTTCAAATAAATAAAAAGGACGGAACATTTGGTAGCAGTTAAACAAGCACCCAATGCTATTTTATGCTTGAGAGGCAGAGCTACCGAGCATCCCAAGCTTAAATCCCTAAATCATAAAAATGAAATCCAGACCCTTAATTCTTTAATGGTCAAAATTTCGTTTATTTACCTCAATGATTTAGCACCCAAGGAGCATAATGCCTGAGACCGCCAAACGACAGCAGAATTACTTCCATTCAGTTACCAATCTCCAAATTTTATAAAAACAATAAGGCAGCTTCATATATATGCACATGTATATCGACATGCAAGCAAAACTTTCTCATTTTGTTAAACTGTTTGCAGCCACCCAAAAGCCAAAAGAAACATCTTGACTTCATTACAATACCAACCGTGGGAACAAAAATAACCCAGAAAATGAGGAAATAATCAACAAAAAAAAGTGCCAAAATAACATGCTTACAGAATTCAAATACTGGGAATAGCAAATATAAAGATCTCAATATAAATAATATTTGACCTTATCAAGTCACTAATACTAGAGTTCGTACACTCTACAGCCTGTTCAAGAGTTCAACAAGTAAACAAACGAAGAATACTATCAATTCTCATACTGAAGCTAGTTTACCCATAATGGCTTTGCCTTGATTATCTTCCATAGCATCATCACCATCATTCTCAATATCTCTAAGCTTAGCCTCTGCCGGGTCTCGCATTGAAGGAGCATTCGTAGGTTTTGTAACAGATTGCTGATACAGAACCCCTCCTGCAATCGTGAGCAAGAGGCAAACCAAACCAAATGGACTCGCGTGCTTATCCCAAATTAGTACATTGATCACAACGGTGAGGAACTTGTTAACAACACCAGTAACAGTGAATGCCGTTGCAGAGATTGCCTTCCGGGCTGCGAATCCAAAAAAACTAATAAGCAAACCAAACACACAGGACAAAGCCACTGCAGAGAAAGCCACTGGTTCAAACCAGTTCCACGCATTTTCTGCCAAAGCAGAAAGCACCTCCGCATACTCCCCTGTCAAAAACCAAAAGAGCGGTGCCATCATCAACGACAACAAATTGTTATAAAAGACGAAACCCCAAGTGTTCAACCCAAGATTTGTCACCATATGTTTGATGTAAACCATCTCAGTAGTAATAGTAACCAAATAAGCAAATGCCCAGGAATAGGCAGTCAGAGTGAATGCGGAATCCGTCGCAACATACCCAACAGCACCGCCCAAAATAATCAACAACGATATGAAAGTGAGCTTGGATGGGAAAGGCTGTCTCCTAAACGCTGTATCAGCAATAGCTACCAATAGTGGCGTCAAGGATCTGAACACTATAAACGTATCTACATTTGCGTGGCGCAAAAGATTGGTGTTGGTGAAGATGGCAAGGTAAAAAACAGTAGCAGCCGGCAAGAATTTCTTGGCATTCTCGAACGTGAAAGGATCGTGATGCAAGAAACCAAGTTTGCCCAAAATCCAGACACCTAAAGCAGAGGTCAGATACTGCAAGGCAGTTAACAGACCCGGATAGTTAAATTTGGTGATGGCGAACTTGTTTATCACAGCAAGTAAGCTTGAACAGAGAGCATAACCCACTACGAGACTGCTCGTAGCATAATACTGCTTACTAGCATCAAATCTAACAGAATACATGCTTCGCTTTGATTCGAACACACAAAACTGCTACTAATCAGAAGAATATAAGCGGATTTAGAGAGAAACAAGGAGGAATTGGAGATTTGAGGAAGCATTAGGATTTAAACTAGAAAATGACTTCATTCTGGTAAAAGGATATGGCAATCAAATCAATTACGAAGTGCAGAACAAACAACTCAAATCCGAGAAAATATTATAATGTGAGGGGAGAGCAAGATAGATATAGATTAAGAGATAGAGAGATCACCGACAAAATAAAATAAACTCAGATCTTGAAATGAAATGAACAGAGATGGGGAGGGCCCTATTTTTTATAAAGGAAAAAAGAGATCAGAGACGATAATTACTCTTTGGCGCCTTTTGCTGCTACGAGGAGAAAATGAAAAGGGTAGGGAAATGGAGAGGGTTGGAAGGGGACCAGGCATTTTGATTGATTGGGTACAAGGAAAGAGCGAGGGAGATGAATTTTCCACGCAGCAAGCTGGGTCGTTGCTGGACAGAGTCGCAGACCGGGGGTTTCCCGGTTCAGGCTTTACAATGCCAAAACGACCGCGTTTTAGAAGTAGATACGTGAATTTAATAGCATTAGACAGACCAACCAGGTTGCCACGGGCCTTTCAATTGCAATGCATCAGCTTTTTCAGCCCAAAGTACTACGGACTGTGCGGTCTCGTGGATGACGTTTTGTTGGGAATCCGACCCGACCCCGACCCGACCAAATTAAAATCTTTTTGGAGTATTCATTAATGACAGTCAGATTAAATGTAGGTACTGGGTCGGGTTGCCCACTAATTTGTCCCTATTCATTTGATGTGCCGGGTACAATCTCGTAAAAAAAATTTTAGTTCTTCTCAACGGTTAAATTAATTCACTGAACCGGATAATCCTGAAAAGCATTCTTTGATTTTTTAACCGTTCCGGTCCAAGTTCACAAAAACCGGACTAGAGCGGTCCGTAAGTTTTTGTCGTATGCGGCGCTGGGGAAACAAGTTTAATTTTCGTTCGGAAACAAAACCAATCGTCGATTGTTCACATGCTCGCCAACCGTGGGCTTCGTTTTCTTGACCTCATTTCGCGCCACTTCATTTCTACTCGGTGCTTATTCTCAGCCTTCTCCAATATCACAAGACTAACAGAGAAATCATGCATCCCTCTTCTCAGAAATTGCGAATCCATCACTCATCTCAAGCAGATTCTCGCCCAGATATTCCGGTTTGGGCTCCATCAAAGCAGCAAAAACACTCTAAACAAGCTCATGATCTTTTGCACCGACCCATCTCGTGGGAACCTGCATTACGCCGAAAAAATATTCAGTTACATACAACACCCACATTTGTTCATCTACAATGTGATGATTAAAGCGTTTACGAAGAAGGGTAGTTTTGAGAAAGCCTTCTTGCTCTTTGGTAAGCTGAGAGAAGATCGCTTGTGTCCCGATAATTTCACGTACCCGTTTGTTTTCAAGGCCATTGGGTGTTTGGGAAATGTTTACGAAGGGGAAAAGATTCATGGTCATGTTGTGAAAACTGGGCTTGAGTTCGATCCTTATATCTGCAACTCGGTCATGGACATGTATGCTGAATTTGGTATGATCGATTTCACCAGAAAGTTGTTCGATGAAATGCCTGAGAGAGATGTTGTTTCTTGGAATGTGTTGATTTCTGGGTACGTGAGGAGTAGGAAGTTTGAGGAAGCTATAGACACGTTTGAGCGTATGCGACGGAACAGCGACTTACGGCCTGATGAAGCTACGGTTGTGAGCACTCTTTCGGCTTGTACGGCATTGAAGAATTTGGACCTTGGCAAAGAAATTCACCGATATATCAGTGAGGAACTTGAATTTACTACTATAATGGGCAATGCATTGTTGGACATGTATTCTAAGTGTGGGTCTCTGAACATGGCTCGGAAAATTTTTGACGAGATGCCGGGTAAAAATGTGATTTGTTGGACAAGTATGGTTGTTGGGTATGTCAACTGCGGTAATCTGGAGGAAGCTAGATATTTGTTTGACAGAAGTCCGGTTAGGGATACTGTTCTCTGGACAGCTATGATTAATGGGTATGTGCAGTTTAACCGTTTTGATGATGCAGTGTCATTGTTTCGGGAAATGCAAATCCAGAAAATCAAACCGGATAAATTCATCGTGGTTGCGCTCTTGACGGGCTGTGCTCATCTGGGAGCTCTAGAACAAGGGAAATGGATTCATGGATATATCGATGAAAACAGGATTACAGTTGATGCAGTTGTTGGCACTGCTCTTGTAGAAATGTACGCCAAATGTGGGTGGATAGAGAAAGCTTTAGATATTTTTTATGAGCTAAGGAGAAAAGACACAGCCTCCTGGACTTCAGTTATATGTGGGCTTGCTATGAATGGTATGACGAGCAAGGCTCTTGAAATGTTCTCAGAGATGAAACAAGCAGGGGTTAGACCTGATGATATCACCTTTATTGGTGTTTTAAGTGCTTGTAGTCATGGAGGTTTGGTTGAGGAAGGACGGAACTTCTTTGATTCCATGAATAAGGTGTATCAAATTCAGCCAAAGTTGGAGCATTATGGGTGCTTGATTGATTTACTTGGTCGAGCTGGACTATTAGATGAAGCTGAGGAGTTGACAGAAAAGATACCCAAGGAGAATACAGATATTACAGTTCCACTTTATGGTGCTTTGCTTAGTGCTTGCCGAATTTATGGCAATATCAAGATTGGTGAACGAGTGGCTCAACAATTGGAGAAAATTGAAGCATGAGATTCAAGCATTCATACACTTCTTGCCAATATTTATGCCTCCGCTGACCGATGGCAGATGTAACTAAAGTGAGAAGGAAAATGAAAGATCTTGGGGTCAAAAGGTGCCTGGATGCAGTTCAATAGAGATTATGGCATTGTCCACGAGTTTATTGCTGGAGATCCGTCCCATCCAGAAGTGAAGAAATATATTCTATGTTGAGTAGATGATTACCCATATGGGTTACAACTAAAAGAAGTGCATGGTAAAAGCCTGGTTGCAATAGATTTTCATAACAAAGCAGCCATCTGTACTTAAGGCCAACTTGTAATTGAGGGATTTAGAATTTTGGGAAAAAAAATTGCAGGCTGCTTAATGTTTATGAATTGCATATCCAGTGAAGAACATGGTTGATCTCCAAGAAAGTTGCTCATATGAGATCTAGCCACTTTACACAAACTTCAGCGAAGTGGCCGGCGAGAGAGTTCTGCCTGCTATTTGGGTAATTTTGGTGCTCAAATGGCAAGACAAATGTCACTGAGATGGTTGCTAGAGATGATTTACCGATTCCCAGTAACTCTGTGATTTGTGATCAAGGAAACAAGTATTACGAACTTGCAATTTTTCGAAAAACATGCATATGCTAAGTAGTGAACAGAATTGATTTACTTTTTCAGGTTAGACTCTCTAAGCTTTGTATGAAACCTTTTAGCAAGATTGTTCATTTTTCAAATAATCTTCAAAAAAACCAATATGTAGAAGTTTAGATATCTGCAAATAAAATTCAGCTACCTGTTCTGGATAAATATTATTCTAACGTTTGCTACAGCCCTTTTACCAATAATATAAAATATTTTGATTTAAAACATGATTCTTGTTGTATAAGAAGGTTCTTATTTTCTTGAACACCCTTTGGTTCCTAATCAAAATGCTTAGTAGGTCCTTAAGTAGTATTTTAATCCTTGGTAGCTTACCATTTTCATTATCTCTGATGCCAAAGTGACAGCCTTCATATTTGACTGAACTTAAACTTAAAACTACAAACTTAAACAAGAAAACGCATGTCTGCATTGAGCACTTTGTGGTAAAAGCTTCACAAATTCTGTAAAGAAATACAGTAATAAAAGAGCCTATTTATCTTTTGCTTGTTTCTTTGCAGGAATATCCTTACAGTTGTTAGTCTGTACAGCCTTCTTCTGATCATGGTGCTATCCATAGTGAGGTATTTCTTCCTGCTGATGCATGCTCCATTTTACAATTTGGAGATGTCTCCTAGCTAACTTGATGAATACAAATCAACAATCATCTGATTCTGTGTATTGATTATTCAGATTTATAACTTATTTAACACTTGATGTTTATAATTTTTAGTTTGCAACAATCATTATGCTGAATGATCTCAAATTTTCAATTGCTGGGGGAATGACACTCCCAGACTAAGAAAAGAACTTTTACCTCATATTCCCAGTTGCCCCATGTTTAATCCGATTGAATTTTGACACCCTAATTTTCAATAGATTCAATATTTTTCTCGTTTTCAAGGCTGAATTACCAAACTTCAGGCGTATCTTACTGTCACAACCTGAGTCAAGATTAATGTCCTCTAGAAATGTTGCTTTGAGATTACAAAGCTAGTTTAAATAGTAATCCAAGTAAGAGATAGTAACAATTCATTCGAGTCTCAATATGAAATTTATGTTAGCAGGCTGGCCTCGATTACGTTCCCTTACACAATTTCAAGTTGCATGACAAGAAAGCCTTTCAAAATAAGTTAATGGTTATGATGATGCTATTTGATTTTGCTTTGATCAGATTATTCCTGGACTTAAAACTATCTGTTATGTAGCACAAATAAAATAATTGATAATGAGAGTGAAGAGTTCCCTCATCAGAAACAGCATTGTGCTAAAGAACACAACAATTATATTCCAAGACCATAAACTTACAAAACCATTATTTATCCTAATCCACTAGCTAATACTCCTGACGAAAATATATGTAGTAAGTAGATTTACGTCAGTGGGTTGCATGATTATCCATCCACATGGCGTACATGCATATTACTACCCCTAA